CACACACACACACACACACACACACACACACACACACACACACACACAACTTCCCAGTCCAGGCTCATGGCCCCAGCCACTGCAAGAGAGAGATTTAAGTCTAAATCAAGCCTAGAATGCTGACTTGCATCTGGGACTAGCTCTCCTAGTTGCAGACTTGAGACTGTCTTGGCAGCTTTAAGTGATCTTAGGATTTCTATTGCCCAAGAAGGAGCAAAAACTTCACTGGACCTGAATTTTCATCCTCTAGGAGTGGAAAAGTTTCCCCACTAAATAGTGTAAAGAATTAGAAAATAAAAATAATGCTGCCTTTTGATTACTTTACTAGTTGCCCTTGTCCAACATATCAGTTAGGATTCTAACCACATCAACATCCAATTATTTGTGCAAATGAACAGTAGCAAGAACAGTTCAAAAATCATTTTCTACTTGGTTTTGAAATGCAACACACAAATTAATGGGAGCCAACTTATCTTCTTAAGGGCAATTGGCTCAGACTCGTACCAAAAGTCAAGTAAAAGTTTAAAATTAAAAATCAGTGTGAATGTAAGGTCTTATTATTAATTAATATACATTTAAATTTGTTTCTCTGCATTTCTCTATATCTAGGGTCAGTAAAAGATGATAAGCCAGAAGGCCTTGGGCTCTGACAACCTTGTCCAATAGCCTTGTGGTCAAATGGCCATGTGCTAGGTCAGTGGTCAGCAAACTTCTATAAAGGGCCAGAGTAAGTATTTTAGGTTTTATATACCATGTACAGTCTCTGTCATGTATTCTTATGTTTGTTTGTTGTTTGTTTCAAATATAAAAACTATTCTTGGCTCATGGCCATACAGAACAAGCTGGAGCATTAGATTAGTCATGTGCCATAGCTTGCTGACCATTCTCTCTGTCATGTGTTTAAATCTGCCCTCCATCCAACCCATGCAGTGGATCATGGAGAGTTGAGCACATACCCTAAACACCTGTGCTATCTAATACAGTAATCACTAGGCTCTGTCATGTGGCTATTTGAATTTAATTTCAATAAAATCAAATTTAAAGTTCAGTTCCTCAGTCACACTAGCCGCACGTCAAGTACTCAATAGCCTTATTTGGCTACCACATTGGACAGTGCAGATATTTCCATTAGCTCAGAGAGTTCTGCTGGACAATGCTGCTCAAGACCCACTTGGGGATATGTGAGTTGAGACAGGGACCTGAGGTTTCACTAGTGAGACCCAGAGTGGGAGAAATTGGAAAAGTGGAGGAAGACAGGGTAAAGGCTGGCCACTGCTCACATGTTGACGATGTTCTTGACATTGAAGTTCTCCAAGGGAGCCAGGTCAGGGTCCGTACCCCGCTCATCCTGGAGGACAATCTGCTGGAGGATGCGGTCCAGGAGCTGCCACTGCTGGAAGTAGCCACCATTCCGCTTGTCTGAGGGATGACAGGCATCATATCTTTATGGCGCGCTGGAGCCCCCTGGGGCCCTGCCCTAGAGCCACTGCCTAGGTTCAGGCTGGTGAGGCATACCCTTCCCCACCAGGCAAGCTCACGGTTGGTGGAAGAGGCAATGCCATTGCTGATAATGGAGACTCACAAATCCAGTCATCTCTCAATCATCTGCAGCTGGTCTATGAGTGTGTCACCCTCCTGACATTTCCCTACACCCTGAAATGTTTCCTGGCTTCCTTTCTTCCCTGTTTAGACCCTGCACATACTATACCCTGGGAATGCAAGTTGCTTTCTATATTATTTATAAAAAGCACCTGCTCCAAAACATCACATGCTGAATAATGAAGTCTCCAGAAAAATAGAAACACAGAAAAAGATTTTAGGATTATCCATGCTTTTGCTCTATAGAGAAAAATGAATGGACACCAATTACAGGTGCACTGAGAGAGAGTCAAAAGAGTTAGAGAAGTGGTTAATGGAATCAGGGAAGATTTCCTGGTGGAGGTGACCTTGAACTATGAAGGCAAAGGCATCGTGTGTTGTGCCTGGTCTCACAGGCACTCTCATCCACTCTAATCATAGTTTGGCTGGACATGGACTTCCTTTTTGCGTGAAAGCCACAAGCTATCTTCCTTGGTCCTTGATTCCCAAGCACTTTTTCTCAACTGACCACCATAGGAAGCCAACCAGTGTAATCCTGACATCAAAATCAAACCACAATGACAACGAGGTGGAAGATCATGTCTGCAAAGCCCCATTTTGGGACAGAATAGAGGGATCTATTCACATTGCCCATGGGACATCAAATGCAGGAAACCCTGGGAGCAGAAGTCAGGTTTCCCAGGGATGTCCATGTCTTCCATGAAGACCTTCTGGGCTGAGTTTTGGAGAACTGACAGCTTCCTTGTCCAGGTCACTGTGTCCCTCTTCCTTTCCACCACTCCATTGACACATGCATTGCACAGTGGCATAGTTTTCCATTTACCTTGCACCCAGAGAAACAGTGCAAAGCCAGGTCAATGGCTCACAGAGGTAGAACATGTTTCATCTAAAGCCCTGACCCCAAAGAAATGAAAATTCTTTCTGTATGTACAGAACTCACTTAGCCTCAGATTTGTTCCAGGAAAAATGGAGATAATGCACACTCCTAGGTCATTTTGAGGTATAGAGATGATGTGCTACAGGACCTCACATCATGCCTGGCCTAGAGTTGGCACACAATAAATTGTAGTTTTCACCATCACCATGACCACCACCACCACTAAGGAGAGTCTGGCTAGATTGACCATTATGGTGGACCACACTAGTTTTCGATTTTCTCTGTTGTAAAGAGCTTAAGTACAAAATGATACACTTAAAGCTCATTTCAAATTGCATTCTAGGGTGGCTATTAGCAATTATGTGTAATTTATTCAATCACTGTGTACACTTGGATCTTAAGAACTTAGTTATCTGCTCTCATAGATGTTGACGTTTGGTACATGTAGAGAGAAGCAGGGGCCAGGGTGTTAGGGTGAAAGTCAACAAGGACGAGACAGAAGAGCTGATAAAACCTTTGAGAAAACATACATGTGTGCTACTCCTCTAAGCACAAAGCTTTTTGGAACGTCCCAGGAGGACAGATCACTCCCCTGTCATGAGCTGACAGCCAGGGCTGTTTGATTTTGCAATAATCAAGCTACTGCTTGTTGGACTAAAATGTTGGAATTGCTCAAGGCCAAGTCCTCAGATCCTTCCCTGTGTGATGGTGGAAGTCCTGACCCCAAGGAGGGAGGGAAGAGCAGGGGCCTGAGTCATGGAGATTGGCCACCCGAGGGTGAGTGCAAAGGTAGACGTGGTCAGACTCACCAACCCAGGGAGGTCCTGAGGCCTCATCTTGACCTGTCTCAAGCAAGCCAGGGCTCGAGCCAGCTGAGGGCAGCGGCAAGTGCAGGGTACTCACAGGGCATCTGCAGGCAGTGATGCAGGACAGAGAGCAGGCAGGGGTAAGCTTCAGTGTGCTTCAGCTTCTTGTGGATCAGCTCGAACATCTGTGAAGCACTCTTAGTGTCGATGTGCACCTGGGGGAGTGGAGAGCACAGTGAACGGGGAGAGGGGGTCACATTTCCATCCCCTGAGCCCCATCTCCCAGGAGAGCTTTTCTTCCCCTGCTTCTGGCCCAGGCATAAAAGTAGAGATACAGAGAAAAGGAGGAGGGAGATAATTATATAAACTAGGATTTCTTAATCTCGGCACTATTGGCATCTTGAGCTGGATAATTCTTTGTGTGGGGGGATGTCCTGTGCATTGTAGGAAGTTTAGCAGCTTCCCTGGCCTCTTCCCACGAGATGCCAGCCCTCCTATCAGTTGTGACAAATAAAAATGTCTCCAGACATTGCCAAAGTCCCCTGGGCAGGGGGCGGGAGGGAGCACAAAATCACCCCTGGCTGAGAACCACTGATCCAAACTAAGAGAAGGAAGCAGGGGCATGGGTGATTCAACAGCATGGCAGAGGTCCACCACCCAGATTCAAATCCCGGATCTACTCGCCAGTTGTGCAACAACAGGCAAGCTGCTTATTTGCTCTGACCTCAGTTTTTCTATGAATCCAGGACTTTTGTGAAAATATAATGGGATAGTGCTTGAAAACTGTGAAGCACCACCCAAAAGTACGTTTCTCTTTGGTTAGGGATATTATAATACAATACTTAAGCAGCAGAGTTGTGTGTTTTCAGGGTTGCTAAGGCTAAAACGAAAATATGATTTGGTTTGCTAAGCATGATCTAGTAAGGGATGGGGAGAGGTGACTCAGGAAATTGCTAGAAGGCAGGAAGAAGTCAGCCCAGGAGAAGTTTTTGAGACTAATCATGTGCAAGAACTGGTTTTCTTTTGGGGGTTTTGGTCTCCTCTAGGCAGATGCCCTACCAGGTGAGGCCCACCAGGTGAGGCCCACCAGGTGAGGCCCACCAGAGCCAGCATACTATCAGGGCTCCAGAAGCAGGATGTGATGGTTAATTTGAGGTGTCAGTTTGATTGGGTTAAAGGATACCCAGATAGCTGGTAAACATTATTTCTGGATATGACTGTGGGGGGTGTTTATGGAAGAGCTTGGCATTTGTATCAGTGGACTGAGTAAGGAAGACCTTCCCTCACCCAGTGTGGTCAGGCACCATCCAAGCGACTGAGGCCTGGATAGAACACAGATGAATTCTCTCTCTCTCTCTCATTCTTCTGGAACTGGGACATCAGAACTCCAGGTTCTCAGGACTTTGGACTAGCCCTAAGCCACACTCTCAGCTTCCCTGGTTCTCCAGCTTGCACACGGCCTTTCGTGGAACTGCTCAGCCTCCATAATCATGTGAGCCAGTTCCCCTACTAAATACCCTCTCATACCTCTCTCTCTGTACGTACGTGTGTGCACGCACATGTGTGCGTGTGTGCGTGCGTGTGTGTGTGTGTGCGTGTGTGTGTAAATTCTATTGGTTCTGTTTCTCTGGAGAATCCTGACTAATACATAGGACCTGGCCATGGGGCACCACCAGGGATCCCAGCCCGCATTGGCCCCAGCACAGCACAGTATCTGGAGAAGTGGTTGGGGGACTACCTGAGACCCCACTGCAATCACTCCACCCACAGGCTCCTCACCATGTCAAACCTCCTGGCTAGCTCCAGGTCATCCTCATTTCGGACCATCTCGAAGAAGTCTAAATGCCTAGATAGGATAGGGGCATAGAGAGAGGAGATGTTACAGCCAGGACATCCCTGGTTGAAGGGTACAGCCTCTTTAAGTCCCCCACTGGCTAAATCTGAAAGCTTCATTCAGGTGAGGTCAAGGCAAAACCAGAAAAAAGCCACTGTCAGTAGGCTAACACTCCCCCTCTTTCATAGGATTCCACAACCCTCTTTCAGAGAGGTCAACCCAGAGTCTCGCAACCTTAGATGGGGTTTCTGAACTTTGGCATTGTTGACATTTTGGACTTGATTATCACTGGTTGTGGGAGCTGATCTGTGCATGTAGAATATTTGGCAGCATCTCAGGCCTCTACCAGTAGAACCCCACAGTGTGACAACCCAAATGTCTCTAGGCATTACCAAATGTCTTCTGGGGGATAAAATCACCCTACATCTATCTTCCCCAGTGTCCTCATATTGTCCCCAAGTCAGCCCTGCAAGCTAATCTTTCCCTCATTTCCTATACCCACTCACACACACCCCCACTTCACCTCAAAAGGATCCATCCATTCTCCGTTAAAACCCATTGTAATAAAATAGCCTGTACTGACAGGACAGACCAGAGGGGGCTCCCTGGTAATACAAAGGAATTTAATTGTGTCCTTTGATCAACAAGGGCTTTACAGTGCGTATTTGGGGTGAGACATTTCTTTGTTGAGCAGGAGTGCACTGCAGGACATTTAGTATTCCCGGCCCCAAACAACCAATACCAGTAGTGCCCCCACCAACCAGTTTGTAAACCAAAGTACACTGCCACATATTTCCAAATGTCCCCCAGGGGGCAGTAATGCCACGGTTGAGGACTACTGGGTTCACCTGTCTATAACATCAGAGGTGAGACAAGCAGGTAGCAAAGAGGACAGGCAGGGCACACCTGCCCCACAGGGAGCTGATTCTGAATAGAAGCTGGGCGTGGCAGGTGGTCTCTCGTGAGAAGAGCAGCCTTCACAAAGGTCCTGACCATCCCCAACTGAGGCACTGTCCCCACAGGTTTGCAGTGGGGATGGGTGGCATGGGCCTTACTTGTCCAGGATGGCATTCTCATGTTGCCGGAGTTTGTCGATCACAGGCTGTATCCCCAGCATCAGGAATTCATACCGGAGATGCAGGCGGAACTCCAGATTATCCTGGGGGTCACCAAGAGAAGACCAGACTCATTGGCTGGTCTCAGTGTCTACGAGAGTCCCCAGTGGCCCCCAGCTGTACTGCCACCACATCTCCTGCAGCAAACTCACCTGCAGCTGCTTCAAGTCTCAGAGTTCCAAGAAAGGGCAGGAAGAGACATCTTGACCTTGTTATTTCTCTAAAGCAAGCCCACTGCCCAGAGCCTCTTAGGTCTCCTGCCTCACATCCTTCCGAAACTACCACTTTTCTTCTAGCCTTTGGCATCAAACAACAGTGTTGTCGAGTGATATAGAGCACAAGCTTTGGAACCAGACAGATCTAGGTGCTGCTCTGCCACTTATTAGTTTTGTGACCTTGAAACTAAGGGAAAGCCTTAGTTTCCTCATTTGCACAATGGGCATAACATTACCTACCTGCAGGAGTGATATTCATAAAAAGTCCCTGATGAGGTATGGGTACCGATGAATCAGAACAGGTACCAGCCATCAATAGCTGGTACTAACAAAGGTGATGTCAGCATCTTGGGGACAGATTGTTCCCCCTACCCACCTCACCTAACCCAGATCATCAGGACTAAATGCAAAAACAAACAAACAACAACAATAACAACAAAAACCAGTATGCTGGCAGAAAAGAGGGGAAAGCAAACATCATTAAATTGTCCCTTTTGAATCTTTTGTCCTTCAGGTTGATCTTAACCAGGGCATCTGATTGCCTTAGAATTCAAGAGTTCACCTGCTCTTCAAGTGCTTCTAATATTGCTATTTTTATAGTCTAAGAATCCCATTCTGTCCCCAAAGGAAGGGGAACCAGCAGCCACACCTCCTGACAGAAGACATTACAAGGGCATTGCCAGCCAACCCAGAAACCAGTCCAGAAGCAGGTCCCTAGAAAGCTCTAGAAAGGAGGGCCAAAACTTGCCCTCCTCCCATAAATGACCCCCCACCCTGAGCCATCACCAGCTGGCCTAGCTCGAGGTCTGTCCATGACACACATAAGGCACAATATGTAGGAAATGTCTCAGGAGCCTTCCCAGGTTTAGGCAAAATCAAAAGGAATCTTGTGGGGAATCAAAGCCAGACTTAGTCCTCACCACAGCTGGGAAGAGACACAGATAAGGTAGACTGTGGGTCACATGTAGTCCAGATCTGGCTGACATGGTGTTGCCCTTGGGACAGCGAGGTTCAAGACATGCTCTTCTCGGCCTCAAATGAAGAGGCAAGAGGTTATGAAGAGAATCTGAAGACAGCGATGGTGGTGGCAGCCACGCCAACCACATGCCTCAGCCTCTGCTCTCTGCCGCTTCCCCAGGAAGCACATTCACACACTCTACCCCAGGCCCAGAACGTCAGGGAACAGCATGGCCAAGGAGAAGGAGCCTGCCTCACCTCTCCAGCTCCAGCATTGAGGACTGCGTTGATGAAGGACATAATGGCTGTTTTCAGATTCACTTCATCCCGGTATCGGCCCAAACTTCGGTCCAGCTCATTCAGCAGTGTCTGCATGGAAAGGCAGGGCAGATCAGGAGAGGAGGGCTCGGGGTCCCACGCCTTGCTCCTGCTAGCTAGAATGCCCCGTTCCGTCTCTCCACAGTCATGTCTATCCAGCTTACCTTGGACCGCCCCCAATCTTGCCTCTGCCTAGGAGCACCTTTGCCTCTCCACACCTGTCTCAGGACCGCCTCACACCACTTCCTCCCCACTTGGCCTCGGGGGCTCGGTTTACACTGCTGCGCAGTGCTGCAGCGCTGCTTTATAATTGTGCTCCAGCTGTTGACAGCTCGCATGTGTTCTCTGCCGAGCTCCTTGCCAGCACAGACACTACCTTTTATCCCTTTTTCATAGTCTGCAAAGGTTTCATAGTAGGTGCTCAAAAACGTTTGATGACAGAATAAACAAACAGCCTACACAGGTAATAAGCCTGTAGAGTTTCTAATGTTGTTTCACGTGTATCAAGACCTACTCTGTGCCAGGCACTGTGCTGAGACACATTATACTTATCTTGTCAGTACTTTTCTGGGCAGGGCTGGGAGAAGAAAAGGAGATGGCATGGTCTGAGCTCCCAGAGCTGGTCCCAGTGTCCCCACATTAGGCACTAACCCAGGCATAGGGCCTAAAATCTTGACAACAGCAATTGCATTCAATTCAACAATTCCTGACTGACCCCTATCATGAGCCAGGTGCAGAATTCAGAAACATAGAGCCACAAAAATGAAGGAGACCAATATTCCAGCCTCTAGAAACCCACAGTCTAGTGAGGAGAAGTCCATTTTCCTAGCCAAACCCATAATTCTTAAGGCCCCTCATGTCTTTTTCTGAAAGCCTTCTAGCTCCCAGTGCTCTGCCTGTTACCTCCCATGAGCAGGCATGCAGCTCATATTACACCCTTTCCTTTGGTTACCAAGAATTCTGCACCCCCAGCATGCGACACCCCTGCCCCACCCTGCTGGCGCCCTGCCCTTGCCAGGCTCCTCACCTGGAAACGTGTGCGCTCTGCTGCATACACCTGGTAGTGCAGCATGGCCTGCAGCACCTTCTTGTGGCCACCAGGCACCAAGCACACGGCGCCTAGGATTTCCAGCACAGCCACCTTGGTCTTGCTGTTCTCTGTGCGCAGGCTCTGGGCGATGGTGCTGATGGCCTCAGGCTGCGCCAGCACGTGCGCCCGCCCCTGGGAATTGTTCATCAGCGCCTTGACACAGCCGATGAGGGAGGTGTGGATGCGGCTCTCGCAGGTAGCATGGTCCATGCTCCGGAGGAAATTCAGCAGACAGGCCAAGCCTTCCAGCTCGATGAAGCGGGTCACAAACCTACCAGCCAGCGCCATGAGCAAAAAAGGTATCCTATATCTGCATATTATTCTGTATACATTTTGCAAATAGTTATCCCATTACCTGTGTACTACCACGTACCATGTCTTACCAACAGTAGCTTGGTTCACTTATAAAGTTTTCCTAGAGCACTGAAATCCTATCATCCTCACAGAAGACTCACATCTGATTTGCATTTTAATACTGTGCATTTGCATATCATTGACTCTCAGTTGCATTGCTAATATGGTAGGTATGTGAAAGGGGTGATCATGATAATTATTACTGCTGTTAAACCTGAAGACTCATCTCCAGTAAGGATGGGAATTAAGATAATTACAATCAAATAACAAGGAGGACTTCCAGACAGCGGGACCATCAGAATCACTGAGCCAAGGGACCAAGGCTGGAGAAGCTACATTTCAAGGGATTCTTAAGAAAACAGCAGTTATCTTGAATGCTAGCAGAAAACATTAAAAAACCCATTTAGTTCAGGGATTCTTAACCTGGATCTGTATTCCACTAACAGGTGGGTCTATGCATAGCATTCAGGGGTCAAAGGACTTGGAGGGGAAAAGAGAATTACATTTTTATTTTTGGTAACTTCCAACTGAAATTTAGCATTTCCTTCAATGATGCATGCAGGCAACAAACCACAGTGGTATTAGCACAGACTGTGACTTTGTCACCAAAAGAAATCACAGCTATTTTCATATCAAATTACAGTTGTTGCAGGTATCTCAAAATACCGTTTACACTCAGTACGTCAAAATTATGGTGGTTATCAGACCTGCTGCTAGCTTTTACTGTTTAAGGCATAAAGAAGCACATTTGTTGCTATCTCATACATTTTCAGTATTTGGTGGCTGAATTTTAATTTAATTGGTTTACTCTTTAACCCCATTTATTTCATTCTATTATTTAAAAACATCATTTCTGAGAAGCAGTCTGTCTGGGTGCCAGACATCCATGGTACACACACATACACAAAAGGTTTAGAATCCTTGGTTTAGTAGGATAATAATTAATAATCTGAGAAAATGGTCATAAATTGAATAAGGGAACCACTATATATAATTAATATATCTATCCCAAGTGTATTCGTGTGCATTTTATATTGTTGTGCGAATATGCCTAGAACAATAGAAGAATATGCTCTCAAGTTAACAATAAATATTTTTTTCCTTTTTTCTTTTGTATGCTTTTTTTGTATTCCACAAAATTTCCACAATGACTATGTGTGACTTTTGCAATCAGAATTATATTAAAGGAAATTAAAATGAAGTGAGGTGGGAGATGAACCCGGGATCGTCCCCTCAACCCTTTTATTTTCTGACCTCCTCATTATTTCCAGCATCCTCTTCCCATACCAGACCCCCACCCCTATCAGAGTGACAAGGGGGGATCAGAATGCCCCATTCTCCTTGAGGCTCTCTTTCCGGTCTCCTGGAGCAGAGAGCTCAGCCCAGACAACACTCATGCACACACACATAACAGTGGATACCTGGCCAATGTTTTAACAGCTAGCTCTCTGGGGAAAGACAAAAAAGGCCTGATTGTAGAGTTTGCCCATTTCTGTGGTATAAATACTCCCAGCATAGCCAATTTCAAGCTATTGATGTGATGTCCTCGAATGCGGAGTTAGGAAGAGATACACCGTTATATGGTGTTTCCACACATCAGTTATGTACTCAGAAGCATACATAATAGTAAAATATACAAAAATAATTAGGTAATTAGGGAGTGATGAGTTTCAAGTACTTGTTACCTTTGTTTTGATATAATTTATTTAATCTTCAATTTATAGCATCTAAATTTTAATCATAGCTATGTTTAACAACCAGCTTACAAAACTGCTGAACATGTAGGTCTGGTCTCACCAGCTGATGCACACCATTCCAGCATACCATTGGGAAGACCCCAACACAAGGAGAAGCCTTGTGACTCTGGGCTCCCCTATGGACCCCCGCACACTGTGTTCTGGGAAGCAAGGAGTCCTCCCCCTATGGCCTTTGGGACATCCATCCCCTTTTCCTTGCCTGCTCCCATTCTAAATGGGAAAACTTCATCCACAGACACCACATCTCCCCCTAGTGGTAGGACTACGTCTCAGCCCACGCCCACCTCCCTCCTGGAGGGGCACTCACCGGCCCCCTCATTCTCAGAAAGCCCTTGCTTACACACATTGTCCGTTTGGCCAACCTCCTTTTCTCCCAAGAAAAACAAGTACCTGCCCTCAGTTTCTCTTTAGAGAGCACCTTGGGACCTGAGGTTTATTCCACCTTCCTATGTTCATCTCCCCTCCTCCCCAACACGCCCACCTCCTCGCAGCGCCCCAGCTCTCAGGAGAGGGGCAGCACACTCTGGGGAATGCTGGGAGTGAGCTGGCCCAGGGGACCAGCATGAGGCTTCAGGAAGTTGAGGGCACCAACTGTGGAAGGGACATGGAAGACAGTGAGGGACAGGGAGACAATGAGTCACCTCATGGGCTGCGTCCGGAGAGCCGTCTTCAGGTCTTCCACGACTTGGTTCCTCATTTCCATCTCCTCCTCATCAAATGCGTACAGACTCTGCATCTGAGGGGCGGGCAGGGAGCAGGGGGTGGCGGTCATGCTGGGCTGCCTGTCTCCCAGACCCCTGAACCCCCAGCCCAGGTGTGACCCAGGGGCCACCCTTGCCTCAGGAAGGGGGAAGCTTAAGGGAAAGATTTCCCAAGACCAAGTGTCAGACTCTGAGAAGACCCAGGTTCTGCTCCCAGACTTCATTTTCCTCATCTGTGAAATGGGGAGAATTATTGGCCCAGCCTATTTTCCAAACCTGTGTGGTGTCCAAATGAGTTAATACATGTTTAAATGGTTGGGGGACTCTAACGTCACACAGAGAAGGGGTTGTTAGATTTCGGGAATAACTGGAAAGCTGCTGAGTTCCAGTGAGTGGGGTGTGAGGGGCAGGAAAAGGCAGTTGGGTTGGGGCAGACCACTCTCTCCTGTAGCCTTTCTGGGCGGGGGCAGGGCAGGAGAGGAGCCGCCACTCACTGCAGCCATAGAGTTGATGCGGTCAATGTAATAGTCAGGCCAGCTGGTCGCCAGCTTGTTGGGGTCCTCCTGCTCCTGGAATGAGAAGAAGGATGGTATGGACCAATCAAAAAGACAAATCCATGGCCTGAGATCCTGAGCTTCATTTGATGTCAGCAGAGGGATTTATTTCCCAGCCCTGCCCACTTGGGGTGGCTTGGAGGAAGTTACAAAATCTCTCAAGCTTTTTCCTTGGTAAAATGTGGATGATGAACATTGAGTCTCATGACCAGCCAATTATATGGGCAGAAACTATGTGGGTATATACACTTTCAATAAACAACATGTACAGTTGTTTAAAAATTCTTTTCACCTGTTATATCAGTTTTTACATTTAAGAAAATATAACTTTATGACTTAAATTTGATATAAATTTGTGCTTATATTTTGTACATTTAAAATTTTATTTTTCTGATAATACCATTCACAAATTTGTAACACTATTGGCCTGTGATGGGTTGGAAATTTAAAAACTTGATCATTCTCGCAGGTAGCTTGAGAACACCAGTATACAGCCTTTGGTGCAGTGCCTGGCACATTGTAGATGCTCAATAAATAGTAACTTTATAAAAAGAGAGAAAAAGGAACTCCCAAAGCCTGGATTTTGGAAAAACTCCAGAGCCCCTCATAGACCTGAGATTTAATGACTGTCAGACGTTCCTGAATGAGGGGGAGGGGCAGCAAGAAAGCAGAGCCCAGGTCAGGGGACCTTTGCCCCAGCCCTGAGCCCCCAACAGAAAGGTTCAACTCCTCCTCAAGTGTGGGCAAGAATCATTGGAATTAAGTAAATATTCATGTTGATTGACAATTCAGCCTTCTCCAGCTAACTGGACCTGCCACTGGGCATGACACATGGATTGCCTATTCCTGTCCCTGTGCTCTGGTCACTCTGGATGCTCCCCCTCATCTGCTTTCTGCCAATCTCCCGCTTACTGCCTCTAGAAAGTCCCTGACAAACCACCTGCCAGCTGCCAGCTGGCCCTGCAATCCTCGCCTCTGTCCACTCGAGCTTCTCTATGTTGTTTCATAAAATCCAAGTTTTAGACCAGTAGGAAAGCTGCCTTGTTTTGGTCTTTGTGACTTCACATGGCTATATGTGTTCAAATCTCTATGACTGAAGGCCAAACATTCTGTCTTCTGCCTCAGGGAGGGGAATCACACCACCTAAAACAATTGTATCAACAAACGCTTACTTGCACTAATGAAATGCCCATCACAGTACTGAGCCCTGAATGCACTAAGTAAAAAGTCATGGCTTCTGCTTTCAAATAACAGTCCAGTGCCAGAGAAAAGGTGATCCATACTCCATGACAGAACTGCCTGCCCACAGTAGACCGGGAGACGGGTGGTGATGGTGCACCTAACACAGAAAGCTGTGAGGGGGTGGGACAAGGCAGTCCGAGAGGACTGGTTGAGTTATTAAAGATTATTAAGGCTAAGACAGGTGGGGAGAGTGTTTTTGGCAGAGGAAGTGCCATGTGGGAAGGCAGAGGGGTATAAAAGAGTGTGAGGAAATTACATACAATTTGATCTGGAAGGTAGTAAGGGATGCCCTTATATTTTAGTAGATCTTTTATTTTAGCTGTACAAGAGACCAATTTAAGGGAACTCCACAGTAAATCAATTTGGAAAATGGATTTTCCAAACAAATCATATGAGATATGATTAATTATTCCTGAAATGTATTTTCTCCTTCCTTCCCTCCTTCCTCTACACTGCCTATCTTGCTTCCCCTTCCTTCCTTTCTTCTCTTTTTCCATGACATGAGATTTTTGAAGACCTGCTGTTCTCACAGTCAGATTCATTGGCATGGAGTGTCATATTCTGCAGGCACTTAATAAAAGTGCACAGAGTGCACCAGACAATGGCTGGGAGCATATGTGGTCTATGCATCTTATCACCGGTTCTCAGACTCCAGCACTTTTCTCCCCAGCAGTTCTGGGTCCTAGCCATTTGCCATACCTGGCTGGGTGACTGTGGGTGAGTCCACTGCCCCTCTAGAACTTCCTTGCCACCCTTCCTTCCTCCCTTGCCTTCCATGTAGAAGGACTAAATTGGATTGCTTCCCAGGTTCCTTCCAACTCTGAAATGGTGTATGATTGTAATCCTCCAATTTTATAAGGTCAGTCTGGCTCAGATGGAGCCCTGAGGTTGACACATATGTCCCAACCAGGAAGGAGAAGAGCTCTGAAGGACACAGGGAGCAGGAAGGAGAAAGAGCTCAGACCTCACCCCGACCTGCCCGTCTTCCCCCAGGAGGGAGAAGGCCTGAGCCTTCAGCGCAGGAATAACCAGGCCCTATTCCTCAAATACCCATACCCTGAGGTTGAAGGAAAAAGCTGCAACTCAAGTCTGGACAATGGGAGGGGAGAGGGGAGAGGAGGAAGGTGGGCCAAGAAAAGAAAAACAGAGCGAATGAAACAGAAAGGCTAAACTAGAAAGGGGGCAAGAGAGACCCAGAGGGAAAGGGATGAGCCGGAGAAAGACAGAGGAAGAGAGAAGAATGCACAGCTGCCAGGAAAGCAGAAGGGAGGGACTGAAACCCAAGCAAGAGAGACCCAGAGGGAAAGGGATGAGCCGGAGAAAGACAGAGGAAGAGAGAAGAATGCGCAGCTGCCGGGAAAGCAGAAGGGAGGGACTGAAACCCATTTAAGCCCTGACTGGAGCCCAGCACACCCCTTTCTAGGGAGGGCCAGCACTGGGAGACTAAAAACATCTTTTAATGAACAGGAGGAGAGGGAGGAAACCTTGGGAGAACAAGGTTTCTGATGTGTGACACCTAGCCTGGGACAGGGCAGAGGCCAAAAATCCAAAAGTGGACACCTCTGCACTCACCCCCCATGAACTGAGTTCTCACCCCAAAGCTGCTCCCATGTCAGGCTGAGAGCTGCACACCCCCCAGGCCCAGAAGCAGGCACAAGAAGGGAGTCCAGACTTCTCATCTTGTATCACTCTGACCCAGCCCCATTCCTGGAACCCAGCAAGTGACCATGCAAAGGGTTTTTGAAAAAGAGAATGCTATTTCCCTGAGTGTAAGCTCCATGAGGACAGGGAGTTTTTTCCTGTTTTATTCACTGTTGTTCCTCCAACACCAACAGTTCTGGCACATAAGGAATAGCTGCTGAATGAATGAGCGAAAGAGGCAGCAAGAGCTGCCCCTTGCTGTGAACCCTGAGCTGCAGGGGGAGGGGTCAGAGATGGCACCTTCTTCTTGCTGCAGTAGATCTGCCATTTCTTCTCAGGGGGCAGTGCAAACACAGCCTCCCGGTTTTTGTCAGTGAGATCCAATTCATCCTGCAAAGACAACAAGAAAAGATAGGTCTGAAATCCAGGGAGGGTGGGGATTTGAATATTCAGCCCTACAGGAAATTACAATCCCCCCAAACCTATCCCTCAGCCTATTACCTTCCTCCCACAGGGCATCAAAGATATGCAAGGGTAATTCTTTTGCTACTAGAAATACAGCCCCATCCCTTTGCCTCACCGCAAGCCTGGCAACTTCTATTCATGCTTCCCTTACTCCTGTTCACCCCAACACTGTGTCTGTGTGAGACTGTGAACATACTTACTCCATCCTGAAGCTCCTAACACTTGCTATGTCCTTTGTGTGAACCCTGCCCACAAAGTTATACAGTAACTTGGGATAAGGTAGTCAGAATAATAGGTAGAAGCAGATTGGTGACTACAAAGAAGGAACTTAATGATTAAGTACTGGTGTGGCAACTGCTGGTCCAGCTACCTGCATCACTAGACCACCAAAGATAATAAACATTGTCATAAGACATTGGAGTTAGTGATGCTAGCTTGTTTCTTAATTAGTAATTGTTTCCTGGCTTTTTCTACTGCTTTTGTGAACTACCTGTATAAACTTGTGCTTGACCAGGAGGTGGCATGGAGAAGCTTTGTATACTCCTCTGAGTCATCGCCCTCCCAAGCCATCATCTTGTATATAAGTTACGTTAAACAAAATTCTGTGCTTTACCACATGGAATTGCCTATTTCATTTTTCATTATCAACATACCTTCTCAGTTTGGTGCACATTTTGCTTTCAGTTCACCTTCAGACATCTCTGCAAATCCACTCTCCTCTTCCAGGACCCCTGTTCCCTGCCCATCTCCCGCATTGCTTTGCTAGCCCCTAAGCTTCTTGCCCAAGTTTTCTTGTTTTCCTTCCTTTGTCTTTCTTAAGCATGTCAACACCACAGGTCAAGGCCTGACAAAGAAAGGAGTCATGTACAAATGTAGTCCTGCATCTCTCTCAGATCTTTGCCACATCCATCGAGTCTACCTGCCCTTCGAGTCTCTCCGCCAGAAATTCTCTGGCTCCCCCAACCTCAGTGTGGGTCCCAGCATAGACTGGCTGAGCTGGTGAAGACAAGGAGCTGAGAAAAGTAGGAAGGATGTGCCATATCAAGGGAGGCATTGATCTGTTTCCCACAGAGGTAGTGCCTGCTGGAGGGAGGTAGTGCCTGTTGGAGGGAGGTAGTGCTGGTCTCCACCCAAGATAAGGATGTGCATACACAAGGATTGGGGTTCCACCAGTCTAGTCCACACTTTCAGAGGAGTAGAACTGAGAAGGTTCTAAAGTCATTATATTTGGGATCACTCTGTAGGTAGTATGGGGTGACTATAGGTTTGGCTGCACTAGATGGCTCCTAAATAGCTCTCTTTTCAAAGCTTCTCCTATAGTTCATGAGCAATACCAGTGCTCATCAAAGAAATAGTTAAGCACCTATGGGGAACACAGTGTGCTTTTCAACTTAATTATTGTGCACATTTTTTAAATCAAAAGCAAAACTTGCATTAAGACAACAAAACATAATATTGCTAACCTTTATTTTTTCAAATATGATAAACTGAAAACAGTATCTAAGAAAGTATGAGCCTCAATATCTTTAATCTTTTCCCTATACTTTTATTCAAAGGAGAACATTTAAGACTTTCCTATACGTAGATCAAAACTGTACAATATGGGCCGGCCCGGTGGCACACTGCTACAGTGCGCCGCTTGGGAGTGTGGTGGGGCTCCCGCCGAGGGTTCGGATTCCACATACAGACCGGTTCCCGCTCACTGGCTGAGCGAGGGGCGGGCGCGACACCGAGGGTTGCAGTCCGTTGCCGCACATACAGACCGGTTCCCGCTCACTGGCTGAGCGAGGGGCGGGCGTGACACCGAGGGTTGCAGTCCGTTGCCAGACACGAAAAAAGACAAAAAGGAAAAAAAAAACCAAAACTGTCCAATAGATATATAATGTGAGCCACGTGTATTTAAAAAATTTTCTAGCCACATTTTAATAATACATTTTATTTAAACCAATATATCTAAAATATGATCATTTAAAAATGTAACCAATGTAAAAAAATATCAATGAGATATTTTATATTACTTTGTTCAAACTAAGTCTTCAAAATCTGGTGTGTATTTTACACTTACAGCTCATCTCAGTTCAGCCGCGTGTGTTCAGCGGCTGCCATTTGGACAGCACATACAACAATTATTTGAAATACTGCCCATCAGTTCACCTGCCTTTGGAACCAAAGATTGCTACAGATTTAATATCAAAGGTTCGTCCCTAGAACTTCTCTACATATCCCAGGAATATCCTTGATCAAAATTCTCAGAACCCTCTGTGAGGTTTCCTTTCTATGGTCAGAAAGCTCAAGAATAAAAGAACAGTGAGCGTTATGTGCACCTTACATTTCCCAGCACAAACTCTGCACCTCTTCAACCTCTGTGCTTTTGCTTACACAGTTAGTTCTACCTGCACAGCTGTCCTATTCACACTAAGGATCCTGAGCTAATCCGTGGCTCTTAGTCAGCCTCTGCCAGCAAGCCTTCCATAGATCTTCCCAGATAAGAACCACGTCTGCCTTCCCAAACTGCAGAGCAGTCACATTCAATCTTGATCATGTATTCTGGTTACTTACACACTTGGCTTTTCTAGCCAGTGGTCTCCATCTCTAAATCAATGGACATTTCTTGGCAGTTTTGCTCAGCCCAGGCAGCACAGGACTCTGCTGACCACTCTCTCTTCCTCATTGAATCTGTCTTCTCTGGTTTATTCAGCAACCGCTCTCAAGCAGTCCCTCCTGCTTTCCTCTATGTTCCTTCTTGGGCTCCCTTGATGACTTCTCCTCTTCTAGCCTGCCCTCAAACGTTGAAGTCCCTCAGGGCACCATCATGTGTCCTTTTCTCTCCTCCCTCTATGCTTAGCCCTAGGTGAAGCCTTCTCACCCATTCCTGAGGACTGTTATTATACCAAATTCACTCAAACCTGTACCACTAGTCCACCAGTTTTCTGAGCTCCAGACTCTGGGACCCAGCTGTACCTCTCTACTGTGATCTCCCTCAGGTACCTCACACACTATGCAGCATTACTATGTGCCAGGAGCTGTTCTAAGTGCTTAATGCTTATTCATATATTTAAAACTTGCAACAACCCATTTTACAGATGAGGAGACTGACACACGGAGAGAATAAACAAATTGAATTCATCATCCCAGCCCCTATACTTGAATCTCCTCCAGTATATCCCTTCTTGTACAGGGCACCAACAGCCACACAGTTCCTCATGTCCGAAACCTGGGTGTTCCTTAATCAGTGAGTGAGTACTCATCGATCCCACTGAGCCTGCTATCTTTCCTGCTAATTAGTTCTTGAATCTGTTCACTTCTCTCCACCTTCACTGGTAATACATCAGCCCATGCCACCATTCTCCCTAGCTTGGATTGCTACAATAGCCTCCTAACGGTCAACCTAGACCCTTCTTCAACACAGACCCTGAAAGGTCTTTGAGAAAAGCAGATTGGATCACCTCAAACCCCTGCTTAAAGCTTTCAGTGGCCTTCCATTGCTCTTAGAATTGAATCCAAAATCCTTAGTTATTCTGGTCTTAACTGTGTCCCCCGAAAGGACCCAGCTCCTTTCTGACATATTCTGTTTCCTCCGCGGGGGACCCTCTGTCATTGTCTGCACCACCATTCACTTATCTAACCATCGCTGCTTTCAATCTCAGTGGACATCTCACTGCTCCCGGAGGCCATTGTGACCTCCTCCAGCCCAGAATAAAGCTCCCTGCTAGGCACTCCAATGTCCCCCCAAATGCTCCCTGTCCTCACACTCACCACAGTTGTCTGCTCGTCAAGATCAGTCTTCCCTATCAGACTTCAGTACCCATCTGACAGCTCATCACTAAATCCCTGGGACCCCTATGGGGCTCAGCACATGGCAGTCTCTCCAAGAAATATTTTTTGTTTGTTTGAGTGATACCTGATGCTATTCTCCTTACAGCCAGGATTTTCTGACTCATCCCTGCTTTTGCTAAAGTGCCTTGCAAGGATCCCGGCCCATTGAAGAATCTCAATCGTTGAGTAAAAGAGCCAAAGAAAGGAACACCCTTGTCATGTCCTTCTTTCAAAACTCACACAGTCTACTCAAGAAAACTTGAGTAGTTGACCTGAGTACCCCAGTCGGGCTCCACATGTTATTTGACACTAGCAAACACTTTGTCCCCTCGCCCCATCCTGAGGAAAGGTAAAAACAATGAGTTTTCCTGAACCTGATGTGATGAGAAAGCTGGAAACCTTTTCCCATAACCTGCCTGGTCCCATCTTACAGTGGCCCTGTTTTTTGAAGGGCCGGGTGTCCTTAACCAGATGCACCTGTTAGTAAACACAAGCATGAAACCACATTCCAAGCTGCATGGCACTGTTTCTTTACTGGCTCGACTCCTGGCCCACCACGGGAAGGATTGACCAAACTAATGGTAGATGACTGTGTGCTCATGGCTCTATGCCAGGGCTCAGGTCCTGCTGCCTGGTCTGGGACCTCCCTCATGAGCAGGCTTTGTCTCTCCGTCAGACCCCCAAAGAGAGAAATCATGCTTCCTTCCTGTTCTCTTTGTGGTCAGAGTATGAGGTTTCCCACACAGGGGTTTCTCACACAGGAGGATGAATGCATTGATCTGGATGGGCGTGGCAGAGTCAGGAGGAGCTGATGCCAGTGTGAATGACAGAGCTTCCACTGTCCCTGGGATATAATCATCCTGGACCCCAACCAGTTTTCAGGTGTGATACAAGCATCTCTACCTCCATATCTGTAGTCAATCATCCCGTGTTCTGAGGTCCCAGTGTCTGCCTACAGAATCCCACTCTGTCTCTTCTTCCTGCCTCTGAGATTAAAGGATCACAGGGAAACTCCAGAGAGAAGAGAGGAAGGTGTCAAGTGTTCTGATGTCCTTACTGCCTTCTTTCAAAAAAGCCCGGATCTGCCTCTTTCTATGGCAGCCTAACTGCTGCACCATGTGATCTAGAATCCAGTGGAGACAGGAGGTAGGTCCAGTCTTCTGGAGACACATTTCACGGTGTTCACTCCAGGAAGAGACTGTTGCCTCCACATGGCTGAGGTGTCCTAGGGGCCCCACCTCAGCCCCAGGAGGAGTTTTTTTTTTGTTTTTGTTTTTTGTTTTTGAAGATGACCGGTAAGGGGATCTCAACCCTTGGCTTGGTGTTGTCAGAACCACGCTCAGCCAGCGAGCAAACCGGCCACCCCTATATAGGATCCGAACCCGTGGCCTTGGTGTTATCAACACCGCACTCTACCGAGTGAGCCACGGGCCGGCCTCCCAGGAGGAGTTTTGAGAGGTGAGGACCTCAGCACATGGGCCCCTGCCTTCTGTCCTACTCTGCCTATCCATCCACCCTCCTCCCCATTGTCTGCACCCTCCCTTCCTGGCCCGTTTACTGACCACCAGCTCAGCAAAGCGGACGTTAAGCTCCTCTGGGTTTGGGATGGGGCTGGAGAACTCCATGTACTGCAGAGGGTGGCTGTCCCGGAGGTTGATCTCGGGGAGGTCGCTGCCCCCAAAGCAGCACAGGAAGCCCAGGCCATGGCGGCTCCTCTTGCGGGGGGCCATGGTCACTGCAGGCCCAGGCAGTAAGTGGGCAGATGCCCTAGGTCCTCATCGTGATCTAGACAGGAGAACAGAGAGCACAGGGTGGTCAGCCATGGCAGTGAGACAGGCAGGGTTAAGGTCACTCTGCCCTCACAACCTCTTTGTCCCACAGACTTTCAGGAGCCCTCAGTCCAATAACCAAGGCCCCTCCCTTCTCCCACAGCTTCTCTTGGTTCCCTCCAGCCCCTTCCACCTGGCGGCATTTACATGTCCTCCCCACTAAACCCTTTGAGTGTCTCCTGACATAGACACTTCCATGTTTCTTGCCCCCAGAGAAGACATGAGGGTTGCAGTCACAGAGTGTGACTTCCAGGCAGTCAGAGTTGGTGCTCATCTCAGGCTTTCCATGACTGCAGATGGCATTCTATTCCCTGTCCTCCAGAAGATCGGTTTCCAACAAGGCTCACTCGCTCACTTGATTCTTTCCAGGGCCTGGGGTGACTAATTTAAAGGCATCCTCCATGTGGGGGAGGATCAGGGCTGGCAGAGGAAACACCGAGCTAATTATGTGGTGTACCTCCTGCAGCATGGGCCTCCAGAGGAGTAGAGGATGGAAGGCTTCAGAGACTCGCAGTTCTCTGCCCAGTCTGTCGTATACCCAGGCATGTTTGGATGAATGTGAAATACCAACAAGGCAGTGGTTCACCCCTCCATGTAGAAAGAGGAAGCAGCTGAGTGCCCTCAGAGAGGTCACCTGGGGGAGTTGTGAGAGTGAACCCTGAGTAAGGAAATGAGGCTGATCATTCGAATGGTATTTAACATATTGAAGGAAGTCTGGTCAAATATGCTTTTTATACCAATTGAGAATGGAGGACACTGTTCTGGCCAGAGCCTGGAACTGATGGATATCCAATAGTTGATTGGCCACTGAAACAGAAAGGGTTAAATCTTTGTCTTGCCACTGGGAAACCTGGTTCAGTGATGACCAGCTTGAGAAGAAACACTGGCCCATCACGATGCCACAAAACCTCTGGACAAGTTAGATCCAACTATCAGCACCCAGGCCTCTGAGGGGCAGAACCATTCTTACCACTGGGTCCTAAAAATGCTTTCAGACAACCCAGGTGGGTCCATTAGAGAGGCCACAGCTCATGCACCAAACTGCAGCCCAGCTGGATTCTCCCCATCCTGTACTTACAGGTCTCAATTTTTTGGACATAAATATAGGATTCAGTTTTTATCCCTGTTGAATATCATTGGTTTGGGGGGTCAAGGTTTTTTTGAGTCTTGATTCTTAGCTGTTTCCCCTAGATTCAGATCAGTAACAGAGTAGAATGCCTCCATGGTCATAACCTACATCATTGCTGAAAATGTTGACTACATCAAGGACATAGAACCCAAGGACACAACAACCTCCTCTAGGAATACTAGAGAACTATTCATCAGTAATCTCAGGGGATAGTCCTTCACCCAGCTCCAGATCCATGCAACTATGCTCTTATCCAGTCCTCTTTTCTATAAAGAGAACATGAGAGATTTTCTAAAGTCCTACGGAACTCAGGATATGCTAAATCTAAGGCATTCCTTTGAACAAGATAAATGTGGCATAATTCAAGGTAACTTCTAGAGAACTCAAGATAAATGTGGCATATCTCGAGGTAACTTCTAGAGAACTCTGATGTGTTTCCTAAGTCCTAAGAATCTGGCTAATAACTTAGTATAATCTTATGTGGCCTTTCATATAAGTCATGATCCATTTTAATGGTTATTCTAGAACTTTTTAACAGATCCATTTTATCTTTCTTTATAAACTTTACGACAGACTTTTTAATAGGTCCAGAAGATCTTCAAATAACACATCATTTAAGGTTGCCTTGCATTATTGCTTCTCTTTTCTTTGCTTACATACTGGCTCTGACAAATATAGTGAAGGCTCCTTGAGGGCAGGGTCCATATCTCCTGCTTCTCTGATATCCACCTCTCTTCCCTGGTCAAATGGAAATAACCTATGCTTATAAAAAAGGAGGAGAGAGGGGTCCTCACTAATTAGTCAAGAAATATTGATTGAAATCTCTGACTACTAGCAGTTAATCAGTAAGTAGGAACCTTTGTAAGGAACAAGAGGATGGTCAGAGGTTGGGTGTAGGGGAAGAGGCCAGCAGGCTAATGCATCAGTCCTGGTACATGATGGCAAAGACCTGGAATAGGCTGGAAGTTGAGAAAACAGAGAGAAAGGGAGACTCTGAAAAGGAGACTTTTGGGTTTTCCATGGGACTTGATAGCCAAAGGGCAAGAATGGGAAAGGCAAAGCAGATGGGGTGGATGACCCTGCGGGTCCCCTGCCCTTTGTCAAGTTTGGGATGATCATGTGGAATACAGACCAGATCCCCTTTGTTTCATCAGCCTCCAAAACACAGCTGCAGCTGGTGAGTGGGACTGCTTTGTTTAGGGCACAAAGCACTGGAATGAAGCTCCTAGAGGCTGCATTGAGGCTGAGCTAACAGCACAAAGGGGTTCCAGGCAGGGACAGGCTGAGGCCTGGGAGGACCTGGGAACCCCTCTTCCTGCCTTCACCTCCTTACCTCCTTGCTTCCCCAGACTCCCTCCTTACCCTTCTTTGCTCTTCAGCTCCTAAGCTAGGCTTTACTAGGGGGAGTCAAGGGTAGGGCAGGGCTTGCATACAGCCGGCACATTCTGGTATAGTCTTGCACCGGTTGTTCATGGCTGCTCTGATTGGTTGCTTTCGTACCTATTGTTAAATATTTTAACATCTTCCCTGAGTATGGGAGTGAGGTGTAGTGGCCCTCAGGAGGAGGAAAGAAGCAGACACAGGCCCTCCACACAGGAAGTGCGGCCCTCAAGAGGACAGCCCTGTGCACTCAGGGACTGCTGCATATTTGCCCTTTTAAGGGACTGCCTGTTTGACAGCTCCCGAGTATGTTTATGTTCCCGAGGACAACCCCCCTCCCAACTATCCCCTCTTAAGTCTTTTCCTGCCTCCCTTTCTTAAGGCCCCATCTGAACATCCAAGACTAAAACCACAGGCTCTCAGCTGGAAGAGCCTCAAAAATCATGTAGCTTTATGGTAGAGGTCAGAAAATTAAGGTCCAAAGAGGAAATGTTTTATCTGAGGTCACATAGCTAGGGACAGAGCTGGGATTGAGACCCAGGGCTCCAGCATCCAAGCTGTGGTCTGGTCACTGCCCCCTCTTTCCCCCAGAGTTCATCTTCCCACGCCAATGGGCCTTTTTCCTCATCTTGCCTGGCACCTAATAACCTTCCTCCGCTAGAGAAGGCCAGCCTCTACAGCTTAGTTTAGAAATGCCTCTAGTCTCAAAGGTCTCCTCTAGACTGGGAGGGGCTTACAGTGATCCCATGGGCCATTTTCTTCTCCCCCATCAGCAGGAACTGCTCCCATCTTCCAAACCCCCATTTCTTGCCCACCCCTGCTCTATCACTCCGTCACTTCAGTTTCCTGGTGGCGGAGGGAAGCGCAGGGGCTTTGAAGTCACACAGACTGGAATTTGACTCCTAGCTCTGCCTTCCCCACTGGTGACCGTCAGCATGTCTCTTAACCTCTCAGAGCTCCAGGTTCCTCATCTGTGACACCAAGATAATCACAGCATCTTCCTCACCAGGTTTCGGTGAGGAGTCAATGAAGTGGTGTAAGGAGCCTGGAGCACACTAGGCACCACCAGATGCAGGCTTCCTTCTCATCACCAACAAGTGAGGCACGCCCCATCCAGACCACGCAACCATCAGCCCTTCCCCAGGCACAAGTGGGGCTGCTGAGGCCTGGCACTGTAAGGATTGCTGGGCCAGATTGAAAGAGTAACCCAGCTTTGCCTTCTGCAACTGGGAAATCTAGACCAGAGGAGCTGGGCTTTTCCTCAGGCTCTGAGCTATCTCCAGTTAGAAATGTAAATAAATCCTCTTCATTGACCCTGGACAGAGAGTAGGAAAAGTAACGTGGCCAGAGCAATTAATTTCTGCAAAAGCCTCTTAGGAAGAGGAGTGATGGAGTTTTCCATCTAGGAGAACTGAGAAACAGTGGAGGAAACGGGGAGCAAAAACAGAACCAAATCCAGTGAACCCCAGGCCAGAAGAGTTTAACTTGCTCCCACGTTCACCCACTTTTCTGTTCATGGAAACTTCTCCAGTGCCAACAGCTCCCTACCCTCTACATCCTGTCTCCTTGCACCCTCCCTTCTTCCGGTGGGGAGAAGGTCTTCCCAGGACTGTCAGTCTCTAAACACAGACCAACTAGCCTCAGACACCGAACTGTCACATCACAACTGATTAGTCAATACCTCTTGCGAGGGCTGTAGGTCCTGAAAGGGGTCTCCTCCAGTCCTCTGGCTCCGGCCAGACGTCACCTGCTTACTGCCACAGCCCTCCACATTGTGCCTTGATTCTGGGACTGGGACTAGTCCCAGCTCTGTCACTAGCTAGTTGTCTGTCTATGGGCCATGGTGTCAGACTCTCTGGGCCTCAGTTTCCTCTCTGTGCAATGGCTGGGTTCTACTGAAGACCTCCAAGGACTCTACCAGCCCTGACCTTTCCCAATGTCTGGCTCAATCCCATTCCCAAAGGTTTCTCAAGGGACTCTCCTCAGCCTGGACTGAGCACTGCCCCCACATTCCACCCCAAGCCAGGAATGACTTCCTACTGCTTGACTCCATTCCTTCCATTTGGTCTGTAAAGATGCAAATCCTAATCCTTACTCCCCAGCCCTGGTCTCTACCCACTCCACATGCCAGTTTTTGCATGTCAGGAATTCAAAAGCCCCATACCATCAGGACTTTTCCTCAGTCTTAAATAAAAGCAGAGTACTAACACCTGAAATTGCTATGTGCCAGACACTGTACTGTATCTATATTTTATCCCCATGACAACTCTCTGAAACAGGTGGCTTCATTATAAAAAGATATTTTTTAAAAAACAACAAAAAGAAAACCAAAAAAATAACAGTAAAACTGTGGTTCAAAGAGGTTGACTTGCCTAAGGTCACACAGCTAGTTAGTGGCATAGCT